CGAGTCGACGTCCGAGAAATATTTTCCCTGAGGCTCCGAGGCCTCGTATTTTAAGGTTCCGGGGAAGTATATGAATATCTAGGCATCGGGTTTCTTTGTATAAAATATATGGCATCGGGCTGAAGAGCAATCTCATTGTTGCATCAATAAATACTAAAACCGAAGCTTCAAGTCTAAACCAAACAACATGAAGCCATAAACTTCAGGCTAACACCCTAAATCCTACAGGGACTGTCTTTTGCAAACTGATTTTGCCACAGACAGCAGCCTCAAGCATCCGGATCCCCGCCGGTAGGATGAGTGCAATGTGCATAGGACCGCTAACTATGGGCATACTGGGAATGGTACTCGTACATTTTTTGTTTCAGGCTCCAGGGATTATGGTATACAACTTATAACCCAGTAGTTCAATTCTACCGGAAAGCTCACCCATGTCGGATCACCATGCATCGTCCAACCATTGTGTTCATCACACAGCACTCCAAACTAATTAAGTTAACACCTTGTGTGAAACACTCGGCTATGCGCGGCGGTCTGCGCGCTGCCGAGTCTTTCGGAGAGCAGGTGGGGCTTTTGCACGCAGCCTGGGTAGGAACCCTGAACCTCTTGGACCCTATCCCGGAGTATGCCTACAAAACCCAACCCATCAACCCAAATCAGCCTATACAAAATCTGTGTTTGTGGGTCCCTCCTATCGTCACTGGCCCGGCAGCTTTGTGTACCATTTCTGGATCAGGACTTTGTCCATCGTAGCTTGGTGACAGGATCGGGCAATACCTTACTTTTTTCGCTTGATTGAGGAATTTGATGCATATAAATCATATAAACACATTTCAAAACCAGACTGAGTATGGACAGTCACTCTTGCAGTATCGCATGCCTGCTTCGTCACGGAAGCAGTGGAAGAAACGGCACGACAACAATTCCACCCGCATGTCCACCCCCAAGTGGTGCATCACGTGATGCTTGGGTCGCACTTGCCAGGCCATTCTTAGATGATAAGCCAAACACATCTGTTGATCAAGGCACCTAACCCATTAAACCCTAAACCCTAATTACCCTAATTACTTCTATGAGTTGTTCTGTCGAGAAACTCATTGGCCTCTGCTGCTAGCTTTGCCAGCTTTGCATAGGCACGCAAATGAAGCAGCGTGATGTCCAACAGCTTGTCGGCTTCCTCAGATCACAATTGTGGGTCGAGTTTTCGTATTCAAGTTGTGGAACTCACCCCGAACCCAGCTCTATATTGAGATCGAAATTAGGTAGGTGTAAATTATATATATATATATATAGGTTAGGGGTGTAACTAGCTCTGGTGTTTGTTCCGGCACGCGTGTGCAATACGTTTCCAACTTAAGTCTATGTGTCCTCCACCTCCAAGTAACGACCTGTCGCTTCAAGCTGACCATACCACGAATGCAGGCTCCATGCAGCCTCTGCCGTGAGGGACAAGCGCTCGGTTCCATGATGCTCGGCTGCACGGATCACTTCAGAGGCCAGCCAAGAGGTCAAGATTCGGCTGTTGTACGCCTTCAAAGCTTCGATTCGGTTCAGTTCGAAGTAAGGTTATTCTCGGTTTGGTTCTCGAGTTAGAGGTTTGTGAATTACGACGAAGACATTGGAGTCGAGGGGGATTTTGAGGCTGAAAAGCTTTTGCACTTTGATGGTTTGGGTTCGGGGTTGTGAAGCTCTGAAGCAGGACCAGGCTTTCGAGAGCTATGGGCCTCTGTAGCTGGGTTTGGGTTTGGGTTTATATAGCAAAAACGGAAAGTTTTCCAGACCACCTTGCTGCGCAGTGAGCATGATTCCTCAGCGTTGCACACAAACATCCATGGTTTGAACGCTGGCTGCGTGCATTCCACTGCGTGTTGTTTCAACCACGACTTGAAATTCCGATACGCGGACCTGCATACCTCATGGGGTGTGTTTCCGGGCCACCAGCCAACTTTCTGTAGTTCAAACCAGCACCCTCCATTCAAGAATAATCCACACCCCAGTTGTATGGAGTGCATGCTGCACCAACGCAGCATTCGGAAGTTGAACTTGTGGATGTACATCAGGTTGCAACCAGCCTCATTCATGAGGTCGGATAGAAAAGTGGCATGGGTCCGTGTAGTCGCCAGCCAGCCTGGGTTGCGGGAAAATTCCAGCATGCTTGTGCTCGGATTCGAACGTGATGCTTCGCAGATGTGGCAAACATTGTTGCTGGTGAAGGCTGCACGCATCAATCCCCAGATAGATTGGTGGGCTTTCCAATCTCCCCTGATCTCGGTCAGTCTGAAGAACACTCCTCTGTACATTGGCTCCCCAGGAGTTTGCAGGGCATCACGTTTCACCGGTAGGTCGTCGAAACCTGTCGTTGGAGCGATGCCTGTGTACATGCAGTTCATGCTCCAAGCCACAAAAGACCACACAGGAGCCCATGTCTTGGCCCCCAAAGACAACTCTGAACGGATGACACACAGTGGGAAGCGGGTGTCCATCACTGCCGTTGAATCCTCGTACAACGGGTAGCCTGAGTCGAAGCTTGATGATTCTAGTCATTTGGGTGTTTGAGGGCTTTAAAGGGTTGAGCACTTTAGAGGCTTTGGGCTCAGGGGGTTAAGGGCTTTAGGGGTTTAGGGCTTTGGGGGGCTAAGGGCTTTAGGGGTTCAGGGCTCCGGGGGTTTAGTCATTATACACAAATTAAGTCGGGTTCAAACGCAGGTAAGATTCTCAAAATGAGCGCCGTTAGCTTCTCTTTGCTGACACTATATTCAGCTTCATCCGCATAGAGGCTCACTGGTTCAGTGTGATGTGCTAGCTCACGACAAGGTTGTCCGGGGTTGATCATCCAAGACATCTTCACCTTTTGCGCATGTCGCCAGTATTCCTCACACTTTCCCGCATCTAACCTCAAGCGGCCAGCACGAAGTAGCCAGCACGTCAATAGGTGCGGGGGCACAATGGTTAAAGAAAACATTTTCTCCTCGACACAATCGGGGTCTTGTGGCTTTGCCCTGACAGGAATTGATATAGTGACCGTCGGAACCTGGGAACAGAGTTCAGGGCTGTTGGGTTGGTTCAGTGGATTAGACTGTGTTAATAGGACTTTGATCTTTACAGCGGGGGTTCACAGTGTAGGGCTCTCTGGCGTTTCGGAAATCAGGTTCTGGGTTTGGGGCTGAAGGCTTTAATTTCGGATTTAGAATTGAACTAGCAGGCTTTATAATTGTAATTTGAATAAGATTGTAATAAGGGGTACAGGTTATAGGACCTTACCTATCTATCTATATACATATATATATATATATATACATATATATATATATAGGTTTTGGGATATAGGGCTTAGGGATCTGAGGTTAGAGCCCTGGAGTCTAGCGATGTATATCAACATAACCAAGCAGCCTCATCCTGCCCAGCTTTAGCCCGCATGTCCCTCCACACATTCCCAGTATGAACTCCGCCGTTGCCACACGAAGCCAACTCTCGGATATCTTGAGGGGTCGCAGATCCGAATTCCTGGTGTACAACACGTTACTCACTTTGCGCTAATTTCAATGCAAGCTTATTTCAAGCATTCAGCTGTGTTACATTATCGCGAGCCAAGTGTCCTTGGTAATAGACATGGCCAAATCTTGCACCACCAAGGAGCTGAACTCCTGGGCTGCTGAGAACTGCACTGCTGAAGGACCGCCCTGTGTTTGCAGACAAGAGGCCCCAGACCCCACACCAGCCAGCAGCCGGCTCTTGACAGTACCAGGAACACCTGCATGGGAGTAGAAAGCGATACAGCATGCATCCTGTATAACACTCATGCTTCGATTTTGCAGACAGAATCGTGAAAGAAGCCATTCAGCTTTTAAACCGCTGCCATGTGCAGTCGAAGCAGCCGCTTTCAAATCGCAGGTTCGACCCTAAACTCGGACACCTGATTGAACTGCCCCGCCAAATAATGCCGTCAGCAAGAAGCACTCTAATGGGTTGTGGGTAAATCCTGAAACACATTATGCCGCATTATTGGCCATCAGCACCTGCAGTTCAGGCTACGAGCACGGTGTTCCCACGGCCCCTTTGAAGCGTAGATACACACACAGAGATAGCACAAAACGTATGTGTTCCAGACACTGCCACAGCATACAACCTCACTTGGCTGCCTTGCTTTTGCCGCTTGCCTTCGGCTTGGGCGGATTGTTGCTAGGCATCGCCTTGCGGATTGCTTTCATCTTCGCATCAAACTGCTTGACAGCAGCTGTCAGCTCGTCACAGTGAAACTTCTTCTGCTCATCAGCTTCATTTGCACTAATGCTCTCCTTCAGCGACGCATACGTGCCCTTGAGAAGCTGAATCGTGTCAGCAGCATCAGCAAGCAAAGCATCCACAAATTGGGCGCCCCTGGGATCAGAACTAGTTTGTCAATCAAACATGCATATGTGCGTGCGTGCGGGTGTGTGTGTGTGTGTGTGTGTGTCTGTCTGTGTCTCTGTGTGTGTGTGTGCGTGCGTGGGTGGGTGTGTGTGTGTGTGTGTGTGTGTTCGTGTCTGTGTGTTTGTTTGCACACCTGTCAGTGTGAGTGTGCACGTGGGCTTGTATATCGGGTAGCTGTACTGACAATGACGAGAAACATGCCAGAGGTCAGCAGCTTCCCCTTCAATCCATCGGCTTCCGTAACCTTGACCATGCTCGCCTTAAGAAGGTTCCAAGCCTCCTGGGAAACGGTTTTCTCCTTCTTCTCACGCGGCTTTGGGTTCTCACGCGGCTTCGGGTTTGGATTGGCAGGATCGGGCAGCGCACGATCATTGGAACTGCCGGCACCCAGCGCGCTTCGCCTCGGCAGCATCTCTGATTGGGGGTTATAGTCGGGCTTGGGGTTTTGGGGTTGTTGTTGCCGTCGTTGTATAACTATGAGTAGAATAAGGGTTGGTCTTGCTTCAGGTAAGATGTATGAGGAGCCGTACAAAGTCAGGATGCTTGATTGCTGAAGCCAGATAAGCCTGAAATCCATCCTCGATGCAACCATCGGAATGTGAACAACACCAGGATAATTATAAACCATAAGCCCTCAACCCTAAGCCCTAAACCCTAAACCCTGAAGCCCTCTAAACAACTCAACCACGGCCACCACCACCAAAAACAACAACAGCAGCACCGACACCAGCACCAACACCAACAACACACCAACACCAAGATCCACACTCACGATCACCATCTCATATAACGTTCATCTTCAGGTCATCATCACCACCGTCACCACCATCACCATCATCACCACTACAGCCATCTGTACCACCCCAAGCCATAATACCGCCCCAACATCCTGCTGTCTGAAAGATCGTATTGCCGCACGTACAATCCTTTCCCTCGAAATTCAATGCAGGAACTGTGAAGCTGGGTTATATTAGGTTTATGTGGGTTTAGGGCATAGGGGTGTAATGGGTCTTATTTTATCAGCTTGGGTATGGGAGATGGCCGGGGATCTTCTGTACTGTGCCTGCTGTGCGGCCTCTGCAGGCCCCGAGGGTTGGGGAGGAAACATAATTATGTCTAATTTCCATGACAAGTAGCAAAGCACTTGCAGCAGCTGATCCCGACAAGCCGACCTCTTGGTTCAGCTCAAACTCGGTCTCGGTTTCGCTGTCCTGTTTAGGGTTTATAATTAGGGTTTGTTAGGGTTTAGCTTTTATAAGTTTAGGGTCTAGGGTCCTCATTCTCGACCTTGGAATCGAAGCACTTCATAAGCACCCAGTCCTGGCAAGAGCAAAGGTCTGCCAACCCAACCCCAGCTAGCTTAGGACCTCGGATGACATACGGGTTCTCCTCGCGATCAGGCTGGTCCGGGTGGGCTTGCACCCACTTCCCAGACATGTTGGGATCAGCCTTCTTCTTGTTCAGCAACATGTCTTTGGCGATGGCTTCACCATGCCTCAATAGAGGGAGGGCCGGGATTTGAGCTTAGCTACTATAGGGCATAAATCAACAGCATAAAGAATTAAGGGACTTAGGTTAGAGGACATCTTAGAGGATTAAGGGGCTTAGGTTAGTATTATGGGACTTAGGTTAGAGGGGCATCTTAGGACTTAGGTTGGAGGGCATTTGTAGTTCGGTTGCAGGCTAGTTGCTCGGCAACGACTTGTTCAAAGCGCTTCCAGACATGCTTGCCATGTCTGGACCCCTTCTTCTTCTGCCGAACATTCATCATGATAGCACTTTGCTGCCAGTTCTCGTTTGCAGTGAGAAACTGCTCGAACAAGAACCTCATCACACCAGCTCCACCTTAACATAGCAAGCCATCTGAACACAAGTCTGTAACACAAGCACACAAAGTCTCTTATCCAGTACTTCCCCTTCTTAGCTGCACACGGGACTTCCCGTTCACGAAGGCCTTTTCAGCCACCTCCGGCGGGCACTGGGCTGAACCTCGGCTACAGAGAGAACCCTAATCCAGAGAGAACCCTAATAAACCCTAAACCCTACACCCTAAACCCTTATAACAAACCCTAAACCCTAAACCCTAAGTTGTAGGTGGTAGCAAAGGCTTTCACGGGTTTCTCATGACAAGTGACGGATTGATCTGTAGAAGCGCATGTAGCTGTTATGGGCTTCCCGTGCATGCCTCTCGTCCTCCGTCTCTTCTTCTCGCTTGTGCTTGCGGGAAACGGATTGCGGATCTGGGGCCACACTGCTGTACTCCGGTGCTGCCTTTTCTGGGGCCACACTGCTGGACTGCTCCGGTGCCTTTTCTGGGGCCACACTGCTGGACTGCTCCGGTGCTGCCTTTTCTGGGGCCACACTGCTGGACTGCTTCGGTGCTGCCTTTTCTGGGGCCACACTGCTGGACTGCTCCGGTGCTGTCTTTTCTGCGGCCACACTGCTGGACTGCTTCGGTGCTGCCTTTTCTGCGGCCACATTCTTCGTCGACTGCTCCGGTGTTTTCTTTGCTGCGCTATTGGACTGCTCCGGTGGCGATTTTGCGCTGATGCGCCGGCGTGCAGCCGGAGCCTTGGCAGCTTGCTGCAAGGCAGTGGCTTCGGCCATAACCTGGTTGATGTCGATGGTTCCGGGGCGCCTCAACATCTCTTGAATCATGCTCTGAAGAGCCTCGAGCTTGCCCACATCATGATCTGTGTCCGACTTCTCTGGTTCAGCTGGCACCGACTGCTCTGGTTCGGCCGGCACTGACTTCTCCGGTTCGGCCGGCACTGGCTGCTCTGGCTGCACCGCACGATCATCTTGCTGCAGCACAAGTGCTGCTTCCTTCATCGGAGCTGCAGCTGCAGCCTCCTCCTGATCGCACTCCTCTTGGTAGAGCTTCTCCAGGTCTTGCTCCAGCTGGTCAGGTCCTTCCGTGTCACGTTGTGTGTCACCCAGATGGTTGGAAGCACTCGTCGCTGTAGTCTGCGTCTGCACCGTCAGAGATGCATTTCCTGACCCTGACAGCTGCACCCGAGCTGCCACTGATTGGCCCTGCTGGTTCACATTGATGCTCGAACTTGCTTCCACCACTGCGGGCTTTTTGGATGGGCATAAATGCTTCGAGAAGCACTCGAAGCAACAGAATATCAAAGACCCCTTAATGTTTGCACAGGGATATGAACGTGTACTTCAAGCTTGCACCAGAGGAAAACTACAGCCTTTATTTGCTGCCACAGTACCTTCTTGATAGCCTCGTCACCGTCGCATTGCTTGGAGCACATGTGGCACATGTCCTGCAGAAGGGATGTAGAGCGGCAGGTCGGGAAATGAGGGTTAAATTCAGTGGGTAAGTAGGTTGGTAGCTCGGTAGGTAGGTAGGTAGGTAGGTAGGTAGGTAGGTAGGTAGGTAGGTAGGCAAGGTACTACTATACAGCTATTATTATTATTACTACTACTACTACTACTACTACTACTGCTACTACTAGCTACTAGCTACTAGCTACTACTACTACTAC